CTGGCAGCACTGGTTGGGTTGACACACCTTCTTGGTGGCTTTGTAGTTCTCCGACGGGTTGATGTCGCAGTTGTCCGCGATGCAGTGCCAGCACTGGAGGGCAACCACTGTGTCTGAAAATACGACATAACCTTTATCAATAGTGTGTTAATTTCTTAGTATTTTATGGTATATCAACATTCCATCAAACTCAAAACGACATCAAACACTGATATTCAAGAAATCACAATCCCTTATGTACAGCCATCTATTCGGAACAGACATTTTTGTTACCCAATACCCAGTTTAGCCGCGTCCAAGGACAAGATGTGTTTCCAGCATACATTAAAGTGACCATTGGTTCCTCTATATCCGACCGCTTCCGTGGTCTAATGGCTGGAGGGTCATCCTGGAGAACAGCATGTCGGTGATTCGATCCCCTGGCCGCGTAATACCAAAAGACGCTTAAAGATGGTAGTTGTTGATGAGGTGCCGGGCGTTCGGCGTAAATGGATGAAAAAAGGACAGGTCGACTCCTAGCCATTACACTGTGTCTTAGTGAGGTACCCATGTTAAGCTGCCGGATGGTATCTCAGTGGGCTAGCACTACAAAACCGGACCCGTCCGGACAAGTAAAAGCACAGAAGCACACGTTCACACTCACCCACACCCACTCACTCACTCTTCAAACAAAAACAGCAGCGAATGGTTACACTGCGGATATTTGTTCTGACCATCTTTTGTTCTAGATGCCCCCTGTCGCTTTCCTGTCTAAATCAGGTCACGATTGTATTTTCAAATCCCGAGGGAGCTTTTTTTTTTGCAGAGTACGTCGTGTTTCATCAACGGTCTCACACTAGTCATCTCACCAAAGCCCACCAATAAACTTCCCCCGTTTTGCAAAGAAGCCAATATGAAATTACTCCACTTTGACGAAATGTTCTAATATCCTGGGATATAAATCTAGCCAAAATCTAATTCAATATAAAGCATGGCTTGGTTGCACGTTTCATCTTGGTCGTTTATGGACACACGCGGTATTATGAGATTTAATTGATGTCATGAACCCGTGGAAGATATTGCCGGCAGTCGTTGGAAGAAACGTAAGACGTGGAGAAACTTGTGCCAGCGTTTAAGTTTGACTCAACGACGTTTTGGACAATATTTCAGGCCTATCCCAGGGTGTCACTTGTATGTAGACGGCAAGCCCGAAGTGATGTTGGTCGTGGGTTCAAATCTCACTTTTTTGCTGACAGATCAAGGTTTATAATCGAACCCAAACTATTTTAACAAGAATGTGTCACTTCATTAAGAATCTGAAAAGCGTTCAATATAAAATGGTAACGATATTGCCCCAAACTTCACCCCACCTCCCTATACCAGACAACCCCGTTCCTCCCTTAACGTGATTGCATGCCCTCGCTACTTCATCAGTCTCCTGGATCGGGTCGTGGGCACGGGTTGCCCAGTCGTTGAAGGCTCTGCGATTCGCTGTGCAGAGTTGCGTCATTTGGGCACGCCAGAAACCTATGGTTGTAGGTTCGAATCCCGGTTCGCCCCGATTATGTTTCTAGGTTTGTCAGCACCATACCCGTGCTCGTGGGTTTCACCGAGGTGTTAAAACGTCTAAGACCTGCATCACTTCGGGTTATCCTCCCACATTAAGCTGACACACCGCTATATAACTGGAATACTGTTAAAAGCGGCGTTAAACCCAACTCACTGACTGACTAGGTTTACTGTTACCTTCATTATATGAAAGCCAGCGGTGAAATACATGACGTTGTAATATTGCATGATTTCTAATCCGCATCCTTTAACATATAGTTCATACAATATGAATATTTTATTGTTTTGAAATTTGGTTTTAAATATATCATAAAGCAATGTTTTAATACGTGTCACGACTGTCACGACTGTCACGACTGTTTCTTTTCTTTGTTTGTTGTTTAAGGCCACAAAGAGCAATATTCCAGCTACATGTTTATAACGATGGTCTGTACATAATCAAGTCTTGACCAGACATTCCAGTGATTGACATCGTGCGCATCGATCTACGCAATTGGAATACAATGACATGCATCAACCAAGGCAGCGAGCGAGACTGACAAGAGATCCCGTTGGCCCCTCTTGCGACAAGAATAGGGTGTTGAAGTCCAATTCTAACCTGGATCTTCATAGGGGGAGACAAGCACGGGTTGCTAACGAAAATTCTAACCCGGATCTTCACGAGGGGAGATAAGCATGGGTTACTGAAGACCAATTCTAACCCGGATCGTCATTGGGTACTAGGGAATCTACTGAATAAGTTTTAAAATGGCATGGGGTATCACTTCCATGTTTTATTTTTCACTCAAACTCAAACAGAGAGGGAAAAGCCAATATCAGTGAACTCTTAAAGTACTGTTGGTTCCAGAGTTAGTGAGTGAATGTCTCCAGAAACCAGTACTTGGCATAGTAGCTCTCTGGCATCAGTTCTGCCTCCAGTGGCAATGCTGCCATCGAAGATTTGTTATTAGATTTCCAGAAAGCGATCATAACCGCTGGGGGTTAATTCAATTTGCTCGGTTATTAAAAGGAGTGCATTTTATATTAACTTGATATTCCACACCGATGGTGCGTTGCTAAAGAATTAGTTCCACATGTGTCCATTCTCAGTGACGATGTCCATCAGCTGAAATGCAGACACGGAACGGTTGGTATGTCATTAAATGTAGTTACACTTGCCGTATAGTTGTATAGTTGTGCCATTTCTATTGCCGGCTTGTTAAAGTCACAAGGATTAAAATAAATAAATGCAGCAAAGAGGGTTTGTGTGATCCTGGTACATTCAGGCTTGTTAGGCTCTTCATCAACGCAGGGCCCTTGCCCCCTCTACACGCAGCCCAGACAGCGAATGGGACTTCTCCCACGAAGCGCTGCCTAGTCGAACCCTCCCAGAACTTTTGGGAGAATGTGAAGACTTCCCAACACTGCAGCCTTCTGCATTATCAAGATTGTCAGAAGGGCTGTATTCCTGGTAGCAAACCCGGGTACTCTCCCAATGTCAGTCAACAGATTGGGAGGTACCAAACCTAAGGCACCAAGAACAATTGGGAGACGGACAACTTGGTACTTGGGATGCAAGCGTGACATTTCGAAAGCGAGGTCTGCATATGTGCCATGTTTTTCCTGAATCTTGTCAATCACATTAGTGTCAAAAGGGACAGAAAATTCAGTGATATAAATGATTTCATTGGATTTATCAAAAAGGACAAGATCAGGTTTTTTAGCCTGGATACGTGGCGGGCAGAGACTAGGATCTTTTCCAAGCTGGCACTTGAAATACATTGAGCAGAGATATGGGCGTAGATGTCGAGTCTGGGGTCACTGTCTCTTGCGTCCAACCCAATCACGCCCTGCCGGCACACACTATAACCACGATTACCATATGACGTCATAATGGCGTTCTGACCTTGACCTCAGGGGACTGCATAACTCAATAAGAGAACATGCTTGCACGGTTATGGAAAATACAGCAAATTGATTTACACTTAAGCTGCCTTTCCATGTCGCACACGTTGAAAGCATTCCCAGTGCAATATACAGGGCTTAATGCAAACACTGGTCAGTCTATTAGCAGCAGCATTTGTGGCGCGCGATCGCAGTGAGATCACGGCAAGGTCAAGGACGCAAGACGTCTAGTCGGTGTCAACGCGGACTCTCATTAGACCGGATGACGTCACACTGAATGTCACCCCTTTGACAGCTGATCAACGATACTGACACTACTTTCATGGAGAAATGAACCCTGATTAACGTCAGTTGACAGATCCTTTTGTCAAATACAAGCGGTCAAAGGAGACTCGGCGAGCAATGCGACCTCCTGTCTGTGTGAAATACTGGCCTTAAAGGAATCGCTCCATACAAATATCAATAATTAAATTTGCGTTGTGTTCAATGTAATTCCTACATTCTGATTAGCTGAATTGGTCACATGTTAGTGCCTTCATTTCCCAATGAATGCAAAAAATGTAGCCACGCCCACCGAAACGGACTACTTTTATTACTACGGAATATCGGTTAATCCCAGTCTAATTACAGTCTATAGAGTTCCCTTACCTGTTTTGTCCTGCACAGGACTTTTTAGCCAAATTCATGTATGTTCATAGTCCAAACCTTCCTGTGGCCGAGAAGGAATTTAACAGCAAACGTGCAGGCTCGCTCGCCAGTGGGCGGTCGGGTAGCCTAGTGGTTAAAGCGTTCGCTCGTCACGCCGAAGACCCGGGTTCGAATCCCGACATGGGTACAATGTGTGAAGCCCATTTCTGGTGTCCCCCGCCGTGATTTTACTGGAATACTCACTCACCATACTCACTCACTCGCTCGCCAGTAAGAGTTGCTGTTTTTGGCACGCCCGGGTCAACAAATTTCATGTCTTCGGTTTTCATTTTTAACCCGCATTTTTCTCAGGGAACTAATGTTTGAATCTGGCGGTTACTGATCATGTCATTTGAAACAGCCGCCTTCTCTCGAACACACTTCGGGCTTTCCTCCTACATTTAGCTGACACGCCGCGATATAACTGTAATACTGTTAAAACCAACTCACTCACTCTCTCGGACATATTTGTTCCGGTTTGTTACAGTTTGAGTGACAGGTCCTATGAATTTTAATTTTGATCAAACTCTCCGTTGATTGGCTACTGATTTAGTGGGTGTGTCAAGTTATGTACATAAATCAAACACTCACCTGATTCATGTCACGCGACGGTATTTATTCCTTCGCCTGGAATGTTTTATCAATCTCGTCCTGTTTTTCTGCTTTAATTTCTATAACTATTTTTAATATTGTAGATAACACATGTTTTCGTTGTCGAATTTAATTATAAGGATTAACTTGTACTTTTTCGGTTCATTGACTGCAAAACGTTTGCACATCGTTTTTTCGATTCATGCCTCGATGAACCGAAGAAAGTACAGTCAATCCTTAATTTACATATTGATATGTGACTTATATACATATCCCATATGACTGAAATATATGAGAGCGTTGTTAAGTAGTGAACTACCCAAGAATAATAACATATTCAAAAAGTCAAATTTCGTTTGCTTTTATATGTATTGGAACGTATTGTCACAGAACACACAGTGTT